CGATTCCCTCCCTCCTCTCTCTCTCTCTCTCTCGGCGAGTAATCGCGAATGCATTCCACGTGATAAACCGACTACCGGTTGGAAACTGTCGCCGCGCTGCGCGCGCTCGCGTAATTTTAATTAAAGAGCTCGGAAAGCTCTCGGCGCAACATCGTCCTGGCTTTCGACAAAGAACCCGGAGCTCTGACGCAACGGAAGAGCGTAGGACGGCGGGAGGAGGGCGGGAGGACGGGGGAGGAGAAGGGGAGAGCGCTTGGTCTTTGCTGGAAGCGAACGAGCACAGACTTCGCACATTGTAAAGCTCTTCTCTCGCGTACTACTTCCGTTTCTTCTTCCCGCCGCCTCCTTCGCGACCGCCATCCCTGTCCCCCTCCGTCGCATCTCTTCCGCTTGTCCCGCCGCCCTGCGCTCCCTTCATCATCGCGAGCGAGCGGCGCCTACCTGCCAAAGACGATGGGCGCGCTGCGTTACGTCACCGACTGCGAATCAAAATCTTATTAACTGCTGAAAGTGAGTTTCACTTCAAAGTGGAATTTAATTACATTCGCGCCTGCCTACCCGCGTTCCCCTCCCCATTTCCTTATTTCTCCCGGTCGCCCTTCGGTTCGCCCTGTTTCTTCCTCTTCTCTCACTCTCTCCCTCTTCCCATTCCTCCGCCGGTCCCACGTCTTACTTCCTCCTATTTCCCTCGATCACTTCTCCCCGCTGTAACTAGTTGCTAGTCCGCTCCTCATTGCTCGCCGACGCATCCCGAGGTCTTCGCTTTCGAATAAAAATATTTAAATTTCGCTGCCACGTTCAGCGGAAATTATTGCTCTCGTCGACTACGACGCAGCTACTTTTCGTTATATCGTCGGTTATCCGCGCACCGAATTACGTCCGTCCCTTGCCTCCCACCCGCCCCCAATACGCTGTTTACAGCGCGAGCGGATATTCAAATGCCGGCGCGATTATATCCTTCCGTCTGGGCTTAGTCGTGCATCATCGTCAGAGGTCGAGACAAGCCTCATCTCTCCCCCTTTTTTTTTTGCCTTCTCGTAATGCCCGGTCGAAGCAATTGCCTTCTTTCCTTTGAGATAACCGCTCCCCCTTCCCTTTTGCTGCCTCATCTCGTGATTAATTTCGCGGAGTCCGTTCCCTCCCCTCTTCCGTCCCTTTGGAAAGCAGGTGCTCCGGAGAGTCTCTTTGCTCGCTTCATCGTTCGATGAAAACGTCTGAAGACGCCGCGGATTATGAGCTTCGCGGCTCTCGTAGATGTACAGGGTGTTCAGGGTTATCCACACTTTCCTTTTTTATTTCTTCGATTATTTTAGAATTGACCTTTCTTCAACAAAATGTCAAGCTATCAATGGGTCTTCTGCATGATAAAAATATAAAGAAGACTTTGAAGTGTTTCGTTTCACGGGAGCGAGTAAATAACAAACATGAGTTCCTTGTGTTCAATTTCAGTTAAACTTTGTTCCAATAAATATGTAATTTGCCATTTTGTTGTGATTTAAACATTTAAAGCCAAATGTTGAAACGTTATTAAAAAGTGTGGTAAATACTCGACACACCCTGTGTGTATCGCAAAGTTCGTTTCAGCACGCTAACGAGAAGATGAAACGGCAGCGTTGAAATTACGCAAGCTTTCGCTTTAGATTGTTACACTCGCGGGCTGATTTTCAGGGGATTAAAACTGCACGAATCGGGTGGAAAAAGTAATGCGCGGCGAAGACGTAAAACGATCGTGCGGCAAAAGAGAGACGCGAATATCCCGCCCTGCGGCTAAAAATTACACAGATGCCCGTATTTTTATGGACAATGCGCCTATGCTTTTATCCCGCGACATAAAAATATAACGCGCGCGCCACGTTACGGTACACTTAGCTCCAGAGAGAATATGGTTTTCGTGCTTAATCCCTTAGGGACTGAAGCGTGCTATTTTTAAATTCCTTTATCGGCGATCTTTCAACTTTTTACGCTAGCGAATCGTCGGCCGCGCACAGTGCACCCTCACAATGCTTTCGCCAACCTTTCTCGCATTTCCATCAACGAGTGTAACATCAAAACAAAAAGACTTGAAAGCATTATTGTCGAATGCTTGTTGCGATATTATCTATCGCGAAGAAGATTGGCAAAAAGTCCGATTATCTACATGCCATTGCGTGTAACACATGCGTATTCTAATATGAAAAAAAGCTGTTTTAACGTTAGAAACTCACCTCTGCTGCTTCCGTCGGGTCCACGGAGGATGGTGCACTCCTCTATTGTGCCGAAGGCAGTAAACAACTGTCGGACATCGTCTTCAGTTTGTTGCTTGCTGAGCATACCAACGAACAGCTTTCTGTCTGCGGGTCGATGATGGCGCGTTGCGAAACGGAGGGGACAGAGAAAAAAAAAGAAAGAATGGCGTTAGTCAGTTTCCGTGTGCGGGCCAAGCGTTTGTATAGGCGTTAAAGAGATCTTGCGGCTAACACCGAGAACGACAAAGTTACACGGTTACACCAGCATCCACCATCCTAAAGGGAAGGAGGTTAGGGGTATATATAATATATAGATGTATATAATATATATAAAAACGTAACATATCCGTGTGTGCACGCGTACGGTATCTTCCACGCGCACGATTACACTCGTCAACGTGTACATCTAAACAGCACTGGGAACCGCGCAAGTGTATTGTACATGTACGTATGTATGTTATACTGTGTGTTTTCTGTGCGACGATAGTAACCCGAGAACAATCACGAAAACAAATATTATAACCGATAACAACGTAACATACATATGTAACAGTGGAAATGATATTCCAAGGGGGATGTGGGATGACGAAAATCATAATAACAAAGGTAAGGAAAATAATCCAACGAATGTTGATCTACGACCTGCACCAATGCGGAAAAACGGATGACAAACGGGGGATCGCGATAAATCAGAGAGGATATTAAGCGACCCAATTGTAGCTGATACTCGTCGACGGTGATCCGCGTCGAGTTAATCGTGTCCCTCTGATTTTCTTAACGGACGTAAAAGCAATCCCGCTGAACCGCTAGCTGTTTAGCGAATGTAACGCGCACCCTCGAGATGGATCACCGCCACACGAAGTTTAACATTGAATGCTTACTATGTTCTGCAGCTATTTCTAAGTTTCGCGCGGAAAGATAAATGAGAAGTAACGGGTGGAAGCGCGCGAGAGATGTTTCTTTTAAGTTAAAATATAGTCTTATCGGTAGCTGTAGCGGTATTCAGATCCGATTAAGAATCTTTTGTCATTGTAATCTCTGAAGATAAATTTTTGTATCGCTTGTTTTTAAGCTGGATGCAACGTATTTATCTAAAATCAAGAGTTTTACAATTTAATGTTGCTATGAAAAATATTTTCAATTTTCAGTATAAGTTAAATTTATCACAAAATAATTACAATATTTATACGTCACAAACAAAATTTTGACACATTAACGTAATACACAGTAACGTAACAATTAATATAAGTTTGTTAGAAATATCTGCACTGTGTGTGTGTGTGTGTGTGTGTTTTCAGCGTATGTATGTGTATATGTATGTAATATCCCCGTGTAATATCGATAATATACGATCATGGCTGTGCGAGATTTACAATAAATAGGATAACACGGAAAAATGTAAAGTTAAATGAATCGGAATGATTGCGGAACGGAAGTGATGATTGGTTGGAGAGCAATTTGGTTTGATTGTCGAGAAATAAGGATATATCATAAAACTGTTATATATAGAATCAAATCTAAGTAATACAATAAGATAAATATGTAGCTCACATCATAATCAGAAAATATGTACAGAGGTGATAAAAAACACATCGACAACGAACGAGACAACACATCCAACGAGCGAGCCACTATTGTATGGTCATATATAGCTGTAAAGAGCGGTATATATATATATATGATATATATGATATATATGATATATATAATATATATAATTTATACGATCAAGATGGTCGTCCACACGAATATGGATATGAGGTCAGACGGGGGGGGGGGGGTTCGGGAGTGTAAGACGACGGGACTTTGGGCTCAGAAACGTACAATATACTCGGCACTTTAGAGCAAGGGGGAGAGGGGGGTGGGGGTTCGTTGCTGTCGTACGGTCGGTAGACGCTCTAAGACCGCGATTCTCTTATGTATTTCTGCATCTCTGCTCGGTCCATTGTGCCGGTGTCTGTAGAATTCTAAGAGCGTCCACACCACGCACGCCCCGTCGTAACGAGGCTTCAATTAAGTGTGATGTAACGGCGGTGCGCAATAAACAGAGCAAAAAAAACACGAAACGACAGGTTTACGGCTACAGGTTTCAGTCACGCACGTGGGTTACGCACAACACTTTGTCTATAATACCTTCTGTATGCGCAAAACGATGCGTGTCGTGCCGGATGAGAGAAACGGATGAGAGGGGAGAATGACGAGACTGATACAGAGGAGCCCAATAGCAAGTTTCATTTTCACGGCACGGATAAGCAGTGCGCGCGATCGAAGAGCGTGCGAATCGTCGTCGTCTTTTGAATTTTCAGCAGAGAAAATTTTGTCAGCGAGGGAATTTTTCACATTTTCCACATCGTACGAGTCCAATCGATCGAACCAATTGTTTCAGCCAATCAAGAGAGTTCACGGATATACATACATTTGAGAATGCTGCATTCTGAGTGTATGATCAGTACACAAGAGTCCTAATGAGTCGCGCGTGTGTACGTAGGAAGCCTCCGAGACGGCCGTGTAGAAGCTCGAAACGTTTTGCGAGAGAATTTGGACGAGCACCGTGCACTTTGTGCGAATTTAGCCTCCTCCGAGGATGGATATATATACCGGCCGCACTAAGTCGGGCTAAGGAATAGCGGTTTCGTGAGGAAATGCTGGGAGTTTGGTGGTTCAAACACTAGCGAGCGGCAAAATGAACTTTGCGGCGGGCTGTGCTGGCTGAATCAGCGGTGACGGCGGTGATTGGGAGGAGAGAGGAGGGAGAGAGGACCGGGTGGGTACAGTGGAGCCGTTTCTTTTTCCATATTCTGTTCTCATCTCTCTTTTCATCGAAGGGGGGAAAGTTTCTCTTTTCTGCCGATTTGCGGAGAAGAAGAATAGAGGTACTGGAAGGAAGCTAGCTATCTCCTGGAAGTCGAAGTTACCTTCAGCGGCCGCCACCGGTGCCTCCTACTTCCAGAAGATGGCACAGGCGCTCCCGTCGTCCATCATGCACTCTGGAATACAGAACAGAAACAAAGAAATGGCATTGGACCCAAAATACACTGTTCGTCGTCTATATGAATCCTCGCAACTTTCAATTCGATCTTAGACTCGCCCCAACTGGGAATCGTACCGATGCGCTTCTTCGCGCAGTCGCACGATACAGGGCATTTCTTTCGATCGGACCTTCTGCGTGATGAATACGACACAACCTATCAGATTATAAAAAAAAAAATTATGATCAGTAACAAGAATATCATTTGTGTAAGAATTTATGCTTGTAAGATATTAATAAGCCAAAACTAGTTTTTTCTTTTTTGCTCATCGACAGTTTGCTTTTTAATGGTTAATAATTTTTCATGTATCACACATTTCTATAGCACAAGATTGATCCCCATTAGAGTGAATATTCCACTCGGTTATTGTTAAATGGCAAGCATGAATATTTTTGAGTTTAATAGCGATGGTGAAATTAGATATTGTAATTACAGTAACCTAATTTTCATAATATGATATTATATTCGTGGATATAATGCAATCAGCTTAATAGACAATAATAATCACAGGAATTAAACTATCACGAAACATCAATGGGAACGGTAACAAGATTTGAAACTCATATTACGCTATTTGAAATAATGAAACCCGGATAATTTTCATAAGCAATACATCGATTTCAGCTAATTGCGAAACCTCGTAAAATTCCGATGATTGACGAACGCGGAATTTATTTCCAATTTCTGCAGGCAGTTTCACTCGGCTCTCTCTCTCTCTCTCACCTCTCTCTTTATTGTCGGTGAATTAAATAAAACAACTTTACAACGCGCCAGACAATGATGTTTTCGCGAACGACACCACGCCGACGTTAGGGGGAGGAGGGTTTACGTTTACGTTTTTCCGGTTAGATCGCAACCGCATCCCGAGCGACGCTCTGTTTTCGATCTACCGCATTTCCCGCGTGAATGAGCTTAATGACGCGTTTCGCGCGGGGGTTATGGAGACGCAAAATTGGCGAGCCGAGTTAAAAGGTCGTTGCCGCGGATGCTAGACGCGAGCTCATTCCGAGAGATGCCCCGGACTTGCACCTTCCAGCCGAGCTCCGGGGCACATTTAAGGATTTGTCTCGGGAAATTAGATTCTCGCCTGACTTGCAGCCTCGTTGCATCCCCGCTTTCCGCAGATTCTTCCCCGTTCCCTGCCTCCCCCTCACTAGGGCGATCCCCCATCCGCCCCGATTCCCTTCGGCGTATCACAACGTTCTCTCCGTCGACGAATATCCACCGTCCGTCTTTAGCCCCGGGTACTTTTCGTCGGGAGTTCGCTCCCATTGTCGCGCGCCAGGACACTTCGTGGGGACCAAGAATTGGACCTTTGTCGTCGGAGCTAAGTGTTAACGCGCCCTTCGTGTCCTCTTTCCTCCGGCTCGCCGTGCGGAAGCAAAGGAAGAATTAACTCTCGGGAAATTATCTTCTCGCCGGACGACGACGGGAACAAAGCGGACGTTTCGTTTGACGCGTAGCACGGCGCGGATGATACTCGAACCGCATTCATTTTTGTGATAACGAGCATTCCGAATTGCCGCGGATTTCAGTCGAACAGCAATTGTCGAATTGTTGTTAATTGCGGTTAATATATTTCTGCTTTTATCAATAAACAACAATTAATAAATCGATATGTATTTGAAAAAATAAATTTAAAATTGAAAATACATCTGTCGCCAATTTTTATAGAAAATATATTGAAAGCAAGATGAAAGTGCTGAAAGATAACTCGAATTAAATCGCCGAAATATTTGACTAAATTTATTTTTCAAACTATTTCTCTTCACTAGTAACTAGATTTAGTTAGGTACTGAAATAAGATCAAGTCAAGCGATGAATATCCAAATAAATTCTTTTCGCGAGATCCATCCCCGAACGAATACCGTAATAAACAAGGTTGTTTCACCAGCGCGCTTGTAATTTTCATGTTTCCCCGTCACGTATCTCGCAAGTGAACTAACTTCACGAATATTCCAGCGCGCCGTAAAATGAAACTGCAGTTACAAATCCAGCGAGTAAGTTCGCGCTTGCTCTACGACGGCGGCGGTACCGTCATCCGTCGTTTCTCCTCCGTAAGAAGAAGCACGAAGACGGACTCTTATAATCCACGAGGATTTCTCTCGGACGGGTTTAAGACCAGTCCACGTCACGTCAGCCGAACTTGGCAGCGACGCGAGAAGAGGCGGCGGCCATGGAAGAGCACTCCTCCCCCGAACCCGATATTCCGGGATACGTTTATCTACGACGAAGAGTCGTAGTAGTAGGGCGAATGATGGCGGTAGGGAGCGAGGTGGCTCGCCGAGGGATCGAAACTTATCTACTTGCTCAACTAGCTCCGGTACAGCGGCAGCACCCACCCTTATCCAGTCGTAGAAACTTCGGCCGCCCCGAGTCGGCGGGCCAACTTCCGCGCGGAGAGATACGCATTTCTCAAATCTGTTCTCGTCGCTGTAAACTTAATTCCGGCTGCTTCGATGCCACTATCGCGCGCGCGCGCGCGCGCGGCGGTCTTACCATCGACGGTGAAAAATGTTTCGAGAAGAAGCTTGGCTTCATCGGCGGGATCTCTTCGCTCGAGCGGCTCTTCCGTCGAGTTACTTTCGCGGTAAGCGTATCTCCGGCGATAAGAGCCGGAAAAGATAAATGCAATCCGTTCATGCGAGTTACGGCGGTGAAATTGCAGTCGACATTGCGAAGGGTACCGCGTTTGTAAACAGACAATTGTTTGTACATTCGATGTGTCAAATTTGTAAACGCCAGCGAAAACAAAAGATAGAGTCAAATTCGATATGAAATACCCTTTGGATCGTTTTTAATGGCTCGCCGCGCAATACGCAGATAGATTTATCGCGCAAACACTATCTCGCGCGCGTAAGTTCCGGGGCACGCGATACGAGGACGCGATACCGCGGGACAAGCTGCGGACGACGGCGCCATTTCCGCAGTTCCAGCGTCGCAGCGCCTCGCAATTAAAGCCTGATTTATCTTTTGTTACCGCTAACAGGACGTTACTTTGCCAAGCCGTCGTCGTCCGCGCGCCAGTCGTTGCAGAAGGAATCTATAAAATGATGTAATTAAGCCGCTCGTCCGGGCTGCGAAATGCAGGCGTAAAGGGCAGTCATTAACGCGGAAAAAGGCGAACGCGAGCCCTCCCTTGGAACAATGAAACCGTTCTCGATGGCTGGAAGCGAGGAGCGGTTATAGGCATCGCTATCTTAAAATGTCACTTTATGAATGTGAAGCGACGAGAAGCGCGTATCCCTGCCTTCGTTCCCGCCCTTTCAATGGAGGCATCCCCGAAGAAGTTATATCGATCTTGCCTGCCTGAACGCAACGCCTTCTCACGTGATAAAATCGGCAAAAAGTGATTATACCAGATATCCGACCTACTTGCAGCGGCTTCACGTGATTCGATTGTATCTAAATCTGTTTCTAGATCGAGTTGAAGTTTTTAGAAACCCATTTGTGTGCGCGAAGAAGAGTTTATTTGCGGACTAAAGCGAAATGAATCGCCGCTGACGAGGTATTCAGGTGACTTAAACGCGCGCACTCTGATTGTTACCGGATAATCCTGTAATATTGTTAATTACGAGAAGAACGCGGTCAGAAGCCCCGGGAGATCGGTAAAATGTAATGACCCGCTGTCTGCGAAATAGTTCGATTCAAATTGAGGTTCGGATGACACGAGGATCGCGTCATACGACGTTGTAAAGCAGATTACGCAACAGCATCGGACTTGTAATTGTGCGACCGAGGATTTGGCCGTGATCCGGAGCCGTTATCCCAGCGAACTACATGACGTCATTAACATCTGTTTCGTGGGAAGGAGCCACGATGAGGGTCATGTCAACGGCCACGAAGGATCGTAAAGATCGCGTCGGGATGGTTGTTAAGGAAGATAGCGGCGGGGGGGACGGAGAGAGCGAGAGCGAGCGAGAGCGAGCGAGAGAGAGTGTGAGACGCGAAGATGAAGTGGCGGAAACTATCTTGCACGACCGTACGCGACGGAGGATAGAGACGCGCGATGCCGACGCCGAGGGAGACGGCGGCTCGACGACGGCGTTGCCGAAGTTCAGTAACCCCCTGATTGAACTCTCTCTGCGACTACGTGGATACAGCGTTTCTACATAGGTATATACGCGCCGCAGAAGCAGCGGCGGCGGCAGCCACGGCGCACCGTGCTCAGGATCACTCCTGCATCCGCGTCAAGCCGAGGCTTTGTGGGGCCACACGGAGGCAGGCGACCGGAGATTACAATGGCATCTCCTCCAGATTAGCATATGAATTACGATCCCCCTCATCTGCTGCTTCCCTTCGCCGCCCCCGTACCCTCGTACCCTTCTTCAACGTATCCCGGTCTAACGCCCAGCCGCCCTGCGCGTATTCCCCCCGCCCTCCCCGCAATTTCTTCCTTCCCGTTTCTATATGTCTCTCTCGCTCTCGCTCTCTT